TTAAAAATGAGTCTATAGACTATTCCCTGTGGAAAGCGACCTATCATTCAAAATCTTCCAGTTAGAAATGCAGATGGAAGTTGTGCTCGGAATAACCAACAGAAAGGCTTCAGATTTGCAGAACACCTATAAACGACCTTTCAACCAGATGATGGAGATGATCTACAAGATTGGATTGAGCCAATACAGGAGGATGTGACCATTAGACATTGCTCCCCTAAATAAGTTTTAAAAGAAATTAAAAATAATATTGACCCAAAAAAAGCTCCAGGATTTGATCTGATCACAAGCGAAATCTAAAAGCAACTTCCAAAGAAACTGACCAATCTAATCAACACCTCATTTCGAATAAAGTATTTTATTAAGATATGGAAAGTAGCGGAAATGATGATGATCCCCAAACCAGGAAAACCACTCTATGAAGTTTCGTCGTAATCTCGAAATTAAAAGGCTAAAACCAATAATTGAAGAATATTCAGGAAAAGCCACTCCACCATAGATCAGGTTCATAGAATTACGGACATTATTGAAATATCACTTAAAAAAAAGAAAGTTTGCTCTATCTTTTAAATGTGACAATCCAACTCCTCGATAACTCCAATTTGACAAGAAGATTCAACACTCAAATATCTAGTAGTTTTTAAATGGGAGTTTCCCACCTTTTTTCTTAAATGTATCTGCAGAGTGCTGTCTTATTGTTGCACAAATTTAAAGCTCTCGATATCCTCGACACACATAACATCGCGAAGTATTCCCAGTGGCGCACTTAAAAATATATTTTTATATTAGAAAATCCTCACAACATTTTTCTTATCGGAAAGTATCTGTTCTGATTCCGGCCAAGATTACAACCAACCTTCTCAATGACCTGATTCCAAAAATGTATACCCTAGATCTTATACAATTTAAACATTTTTATGAATATGACAAAATACGTAGACCCTGTAGATACAATAAATGTAAATTGTTATTTATTAGACTATAAATGATAATATATCAAAAAACATAATTATAATTGGTAAATAATTGGACTGATATGGAACTGTTTTAAATTGAATTTTATTTGATTATTTGTAAACAAAGATATGATATAACGACTAATTATAATAACAATACATGAATTGTACCGAAGACAAAACGTTTAATTGCCATTCTATTTCAACATGAATAATCTTTTCTCTCTCACGTGTTACAATAGCGTTTTTGCAGACAACTGGAAAATTTCAACTCAATTTTATCAATCGCTGCTTTCGACAATCAACAATTAGTAGCTCTCACCTTTCCACCAAAAATTCAATTCGTGAACATCCCCATAAACCAGAAGTAACTGCATGCGCAAGGACAAATTTAACAGAGCAAGGCAATAAAATATGAGAAAATTGATTTTCTGTGGCTTTGTTATTTGTGCATCACTTGCACTTGGCGCAAAGCCAGCCTCTAGCAGCTCGCCTTGAATGCATGAGTTTTTGTGTTAATGAAATCTTCGAGAACTTTTCAATTTGCTTCGATGTAAATCATCTTGAATGCTTTTAGAAGTTTAATAATGTCAAAAGTTTGGTATTCAGTTTTATAAATGTAAAGATAGAATGTTTTACATAAAAGTTGAATCTACAAAACGCAATGATATCTGTTAGAATTTTTGGGATTGCTGCAGGATTTCTAAACAGTTTAAGATTTAAAATTTCCAACTAAGTTCTTGACAGAAGATGGTAGTTTGCTGTCAGAAACAATAATTCAAGACCTGGAGAAACTAGATATACGTATACAACGGAAATCCTGATAATATTTTATGATTTCAAAAGGAGCTTGCTGGTAAACTAAAGGAAAGCACTACTGTAAAAATAAAGTATCTTGCAGTCTTTTTTTATTGAACCCACTAGGTATTTGCTTGTTTTCTACATAGTAAATCGCCCATATTTTCTAATGTTTAAGAGCAACCCATCATAGCTGAATATGTCTACAAGACATATTTGCATGGGCGTACGCAGGAATTTGTCCAGGGGAGACAGACCAACATTATTTGAGTATTTATACACACTAATTCAGGAGTAATCCGACAAACCGTGATAAATCATTTTCCGAAAAAAATATTTAGGTACAATTTATATAGCATTTGAGTGTGAAAAATCCATTTCCATTTTCCAATGTGTTCTAAACACATTATATCAAATAGTAAAATGCATTTGAAAGTGACCGAGACAAACCAAAGTAAATCAATTAATTCCTCTCAGACAACATGTTAAATCAGTATTTTTTATTAATTTATTAACATGTAGGTATCTTAGATTTTATTAATTATCAAGTCAAATAATTATTTAGTTACCAAATGATTTTATCGATAGAACACAATGCGTGAGAATCCACCGCCTACAGCCACAGCTGACTACACACCCGACACTCAATGCGACTCACCTTGTTCTGCCCGGGAGAGTGCATCCGACGGTACGCTACCACCCAGTGTTGCCAGTCTAGTACAATTGTACTAGATCTAGTACATTCTCTGAGAATCTGGTACTCTAGTACACTCGAAACAAAATCTAGTACTTTTTTTAGCATATGTTTTCATTTGAAGTGTAAAATATATTGGTCAAAAATTGCAAGAGAAATTAAAATAGTTGTTAAAAATTACTTCAGAGATAACATAGTAGACATTTCTCGAGAGATAAAACATTGTTTGAAAATTGCACGAGAGATCAAAAATTGTTCAAAAATGGCTTGAGAGGTAAAAAGGGTGTTAAAAATTGGTCGAAGCATAAAATAGTATTAGAAATTGCTTGAGGAGTAAAATATTGTTCAAAAATTGCTCTATGGATAAAAATACTGTTAGAAATTTAATGAGAGATAAAAATATTTAATAATTTTTTGAGAGATTAAATAGTATTATAAATTGTTAAAATCGTATTCAAAAATTGTTCGAGGTAAAATAGTATTACAAAATGTTAAACCCGTGTCCAAAAATTGCTCAAGGGATAAAATACTATTAAAAAATTTGTTGAGAAATAAAATATTGTTCAAAATTGACTCAAGAGATACCTACTATTAGAAATTTCTCGAGAGACCAAACATTGTTTAAAAATTCCTCGAACGATAATATACTATTTAAAAATGCTCGAGAGATAAAATATTGTACAAACGTTGCTCGACATATAAAACATTGTTAAAAATTTATCGAGAGTTAAAATATTTTTATAAATTTGTCGAGAGTTAAAATATTGTGCAGTTTGCTGAAGAGATAAAAAAGTTGTTAAAAATTGCTCAAGAGATAGAATAAATAATGTTAGAAATTTATCGAAAGATAAAATATTGTTTAAATATAGCTCAAGAAGTAAAAAAAGGTTTAAAAACTGCTCGAGTGATAAAATAGTATCATAAGTCATTAAAATCTTATTCAAAAATTACTCGAGAATTAAAAAATACTGTTAAACATTTCTCGAGAGATAAAACATTGTTTAAAAATTGTTAGAAAGATAAAAAATGTTAATAAAAATTGCTCGAGAGATAAAATAGTGTTAGAAATTATTAAAATTTTGCTCAAAAATTGCACGAGAGATCAAATATTGTTCAAAAATAGCTTGAAAGGTAAAAAAGGCTGTTAAAAATTGCTCGAGTGATTAAATAGTGTTTAAAATTGTACAAACATTGCTCGAGGGATAAAAAAAGTTGTTAAAAATTGCTCGAGAGATAGAATACTGTTGGAAATTTATCGAGACATAAAATATTTTTTAAAAATAGCTCAAGATATAAAAAAGGTTTTTTAAAAATTGCTCGAGATATGAAATAGTGTTAGAAATTGTTAAAATTTTGATTAAAAATTGCACGAGAGATCAAATATTGTTCAAAAATAGCTTAAAAGATATAAAAAGGCTGTTGAAAATTACTCGAATGATTAAATAGTGTTAAAAATTTTACAAAAAATATTGTACAAACATTGCTTCATTCAAAAACTGCTCGAGAGATAAAATAGTGTCAGAAATTTGCCGAGAGATAAAATATTGTTTAAAATTGTTGTGTTCGTGTTCTCTATAAACCTTTTTTTTTGCTCTTTAATGACCATACTTCATAATTAGAAAAATCTGGTAATTTTATAGAATCTAGTACATTTTTATGAAATCTGGTACATTTTTTAGATAAATCTGGTACATTACAAAAATATATTCTGGCAACACTGCTACCACCGCCATCACTTCTAAAATAATTTTGCTGCTAACATGTAGGTATGTAATTTTTTTTTCATTGTCACTGCGTGCCTATTGCCAGATTCATTTTTTTTTCGGTCTGGTTGGTTCATCTTTGGTAATAGGGAATTCAGTATGGACTGGGAATTTCAATAATTCTGTTGTTTTTAGCATCGGGACTTTAAATTATTTAAAAAAATTTCCACTACACCGAATCAAAAATATTTTACGTAGTTTCTTGTATTTTCCCAATAATATTGTACTGTAATGCGAACGATTTCATTATTCAATCATGCTCTAAACCTCCAAGTCCCTCTCTGTCTTATTTGGCTTTTGAGGCTCAACTTGTCCGATTATCATACATAATTAAACCCCTTAAGACCAAACATATGTGACGACTATGGCGGAGGCGCTTTCGAGTACATTCCAGAGTCAATGTAATAATGTTACTAGTGTTGATGAGAATTGGTAAGAAGATTCTAGTACCTTCGCCAAAATTTTAAATGTGTATATAAATATTGGTGGAGGAACACGGAGCAGTCAGTTGTATATAGACAGTTGAGAATAAAGTATTGGACTGTGAAGATAAATAGTGAACAATTCAAAATCATTCGAAATATATAATTAGAATAGTATTGTTATAAAATAAAGTGTTCAAATAAATTATTAACAAAAAAACTGTTGTTTAAAATAAACAAACGTTACAGTACTGTATATTGGTAAATCCAGGAGGCTAATACGCCCATGCATGTTTGTTTTTTGTAGAAATTAATTATTGAAAGAACTAAATGAAAATATGTCATTATAAAAAAAATGTTTACTTACCGGCATATGCAGTTTTCTGACAATGATTTCTGGTCGAATGTCTTTGTTTGAAATAGTATATAAGATCCAAGGATTGTAAAAATGATATTGTACTAATATTATAAATGCGCACATAAATACTATTAGGTAGAGTTTTGTAGATATCTTCATAGTTTTACGAGCTATCTTTCGCTAAAACAAAATATTTTTTTTTTTTATAAAATACGTCTGGATCATAATCGGAAATTAAATGTGCAATTGTAACTTAAATGTCGCTTAATACAACATAAAATCACTTATAGAATGGTTATTTAAGTATTGTATATAATTTACGGCAATTAAATAGCACTAGATCTTATTTCAACCTCCTTTTCGTGTTTTCAACTGTTTGAATTGCTTTTCTGTAACTATTTGAATTTTTGAATGATTAATGGAAGGTGCAACATTATAATGCAGTTGACTATAATGGGAGAAAAAAACAAATATGATATACGAGTAAAATGTAGCGGCTTTAGGTAAATTTCTGTAAAATTTAAATGCAGTGGCGCACTTAGTTCAAATCAATTCTCTATTGATCTCTGATTTCTAAAGATATAGATGATGCTTAAAATATTACAGATTTATACAAATAAATAACACAAAAAAGTTGAAAACAATTGTTTATAGAGAATCGAATGCCGCAGTTTAGACAAAATTAATATTATTTTTTGCTACACCCACATGTATATTATCTATTCAACGCACAGACTACAAAACGAAAAAGTATGCCATTGCGTTCAACTGAACGAATATATTTCATATCAATTCTACCTAGTAAGAATACGGCAAAAAATGAAATCCACCAATCACAGTTCATATTTTGGTCACCCGGCTACTATTATGTTTTTAAATTTTAAATAAGTGACAATTCTGTCAAACTAATTGTCAGTATATTTTTTAGTTATTGAGATTAAATATTAAGCTATTTATGAAACGAGTTACGAAATGCTTTATTTTATGTAACGAGTAAATATTTGCATAACTATTTCGTATACATACAATATTTTTTCTAATTTTGACTAGATTATTTATAAAATTGTGTTTTGGTAAGAAATTACTGACATCTTTGCAATCAATATTACTACTTTCTTGTATTGTTAGTTACATGTGCATCATTTTATTGACAAACAGAACATAATATTACTTATCTATTCTCAACTACTTGTAGTGTGTTTATATGGCTTATTAAAGTTATTTAGTTTTCAAAAAATAGGTTATTTTGTCGTGTATTGTGTTTTAAATATTTTGCACTGATTTAAAATGGAAAATAAGGACCAAACCAACATTATTACTAGGTTGTAAGTTTAATCGAATTATATTTTTATAAGTCAACCTGCCTTTCATTAATAATTTATATTATTGATTTTAAAATCAAAAAAAGGTTTATTTTAATTTGTTTTCTTTTCGCAACTAGTGACAATGAATTTCTTTCAACCAATTTCATAATGTTCAAAATAATGTAACTGGTTGCTTAAAGTAGATCATTTTGACACTTGCTGCGATTACAAAAAAGTCACTTTATATGTCAAATACATTATTTATTCTTGAGTAGAATCGATAAATAATAGCATTTCTGTTATTAGTTCGTCTACATTTACAAATAAACCATAAATTTTGATAAAATTGTTAGAAATCAATTTAATTACGAGTATTAAAACTAAAATATGTGTGGCGATGGAGCAGTGACTTGGTCATTTGGCTTTCATGTAGATGTAGGATTGGAGACTAATTAATTTTTTTTTAAGTTTATTGTATTATATAAATTAGTAAAAGTCATAAATTATTTTTAAATTAGTCTTAATAACCTAATATTTTAAAAAAATTTAGATTTTCGTTAGTGGGTCGTAGAAACAATATTCTGTACAACTCGAGTGGATTGTCCGTATCGCACTCAGACTCGAACTTCTTTGTGCGATATGGCCATCATATCCACGCTTGTTGTACAAACTACTATTTACTTTTTCATAGTACTTTTGCATTGAGTATGGACATATCTTAATAAAAAAATGTTTAACCTTCTTTTATTTTATGTTTATTTTCAATATCTTTTAATTTCTTTGGAAGCATATTATAAAATTGTATTCTAATAGACCGTCAGATAGTGACCGATTTAGGTGCCCCATTTTCGCATACAAGCCTCGAAGAGGGTTGAAAAATACATCGATGTTGAGTAGAATAAAATAAAATTTACGAGTGGCTCTTGGAGTTAACTCATGGAAAATTCGATTTTCCTTTTCAGAAAAATTATCGACCTCAAAGAAAATATATTTTTCGGACTAGTGACGATGTACATTTTCATACATTCGATGGACTTGTGTGGAAAATCTGGTAAAATCTCGATTTTTGCTTAGAAGATTACCCCCTTATTTCAATCCTTTAGCCACTTGCAACATTAAAGCCTTTGGTTTTCCGAAGCCTAGTAAATCGTAAATTTCCTTTCATTCTAATTAAAATCGATGTACTTTTCAATCCTCTTCGAGGCTTGTATGCGAAAATGGGGCACCTAAACCTGTCACTATCTGACGGTCTATGTATATTTAGTGATTTTGTGCAAATTTCTAAACGTCGATAAAGTATAGTAAGATGTGTCTTTTGTTTTGTATCATAGGAATAAATATTGCCATTATCGCATTTATTTTTGTGTATTAATAATAATACTCTCCCTAATTCACTCCCTTAAGAGTGAATTTCAACCCCTAAAGCCGACTTAGCTTGTGTGGGGAAGGGACGGCTATTATTATTATTATTATTTGTCGTGGCGCTCTAGGGCGATGTAAAGATGATTGATGGTGCCATTTGATTTACAGGTGAGGAGGAAAACCTGGAAAATCTCACCCACCATCATTGAAACGGTAACGCATGGTGATTTGTTAACATCCATTTATTAAAGTAACTCTAAAATATAAAGACCAAATACTGTTAGGATTAATAAAGGTCGACAATAATGAACAAACGAGACATTTGAAATGTACCTAATAATAATTCTCTTTGGGCTAAAAGAACTTTACAGCATGGATATAACCTACCCAGGCTGTGTTTACATCATTGATTCTAGATTCAAAGTATAATAAACGAATATGGTGCAACTTTAATTTGAAGTCAAATCTACATCAAGAAATTTAACATTTTCAGTTTTTGAAATATCTGCATTATTTATACAGTATGTCGCTAATGTATGGAATAAATTCATTATAATGGAAGTAGTTGGTTTTTCGAAAAAATGCTCGGACAGGTCAATTTTGTTTAGTCAAAGCGCAATTTTTTAAATAGAATTCAATTTTCCCCCCACTTCCCATTTTTGGACAGTGACGTCATTGGCAATTTTTTTAAATAGTAACCCCAATTTTTTTTTCTTGATTTTGTTAGATCTTGCAATTTCCTACTCGGAAACATAATATTTGAAATATCTTACATAACAATTTTTTTTGAATAAAAGTCATTTAAAGATCAGACACATAAATTTTATTTTATTTTGAGAACACAATAAATGCATAAAAGATAATTATTTGTAATTAAGTGCTTAATCTAACAAAATAATAATAATAATAATAAAAAAGAATTTGTGAAATCGTCATTAAATCTTTTTATTATTATTATTATTATTATTATTATTATTATTATTATTATTATTATTATTATTATTATTATTATTATTATTATTTTTTTAGATGAATCACTTAATTACAAATAATCTTTATTCATTTATTGTGTTTCAAAATAAAATAAAATTTATGTATCTGATCTTTAAATGATTTTTATTCAAAAAAAATTGTTATGTAAGATATTACAAATATTATGTTTCCGAGTAGGAAATTGCAAGATCTATCAAAATCAAGAAAAAAAAATTGGGGTTACTATTTAAAAAAATTGTCAATGACGTCACTGCCCAAAAATGAGAAGTGGGGGAAAATTGAATTCTATTTAAAAAATTGCGCTTTAAGTAAACAAACTTGACCTGTCTGAGCATTCTTTCGAAAAACCAACTACTTCCATTATAATGAATTTATTCCATACATTAGCGACATACTGTAGAAATATTGAATGCAGAAACATTAGTCCTCTGATGAATATGAAATGATACAGAGTATAAAATCACCAAACCAAGCAGATAATTGTGAAAGAGTATTCGAGGATTAATTTTTAAACATATGTCACTAAATAATAATGCCGAGTCATCAGATAAAAATGTAACCGGGTAAGACAAAATGTAACTCATTTTTATACAGAATAAATAATAAAGGGCCCAATAGTGATCCTTGTGGGACTCCATTTTTATTCGTCATCAGTATATTTAAGATTTTAACATGTATTCAAATAAAGAGTACCTCAAGGTTCAGCTTTAGCTCCTACACTATGCAGTTGGTCATAACTTTTCGCTGGCATAAAAATCATACAATGAAATAAAATCATCCATTGCATTTGCGGTTGGAATATAATTTTCATCCTATGACTAGTTTTTGAAATACGGGGAGTTAAAGTTTCAAATTGGCTATTTGTTCTTAACAAAGTATATACCTATAGACCTCTAATCACTTTTTATTTAAAATAATTTGCAAAAAATATGCGTAGGTTTACTAAAAAATTATTGGAATTAAGCTTAAAATGTCATTAGGGTCCTTCGAATGTCTTGTTTATTAAATAAAATTAAGCATGTAGGTAAGGTTAGGTTCACAAAATTGTATTCTGACGGCGCACATGGTAATCCACATCGATTAAGGGTCCTTAATTTTTTCATACCAACTTTGTTAGCAATATATGCATCTTTTTTGCATTTTTTAACAGGCTATTAATATGCATTTTCTAACCACATTGCGAGAACTCAATTATTAGTTCATAAGATGATGTTAATTTCTATTGTAAACAATTAGGTAAATGGAATAAATAACAGTGAGTCAGTCATTTTAGACCTTTGAACTCAAAAGTGCAAAATTGCTGCTAGCGTATCTATTGATTCAGATTTAAATTTTACTTATGATCTTTTTAAATGAATGAGATAATAAAATAGTAAAATCAAATCTTTAAATAACAATTACTAAACAAAAAAACATGAATACATCCTGAAATGAAATCATAAAATGTAAAGAAAAACAACATTAGTTGAAACAGTTTTATAGAAGGGTTCATTTTTTGATCAATTTTGTGGGCAGTTCTCAGTATATCCTGTTTGATATGAATCGGAGATTATAATATATATATTATTATCAAAAGTAACAAAAAAACTTATGTGGACCATAACATCACATGAAAGTTTTGCCCCAAAAAAGATCAAAAAAAGGTGATCCCACCCATCGTATATTTTCCCATCGTAATTTTATTTAATTTCTTTTGCAGTTTTGTTTTTAATAATTTAAAAATCTTACCTCCTCTCACTAGATTTTTATTACTTACAAGAATAATTTTATTGAATTTCTTTTGCAGTTTTGTGTTTTTAATAATTCAAAAATTTTCGCTCCTTTAAATAGATTTTAATACTTACCACATCGAAATTTCGAATTAAAAAAATCACTAAATCACATCCAGCATTTACAAATTGTCGTTTAATGTTTGAACCTCACACATAAAATTATAACTGGCCGATAAGAATGAATAAAAATACTGTAATAGCTACTTATCATTGTAAATATTTCCCGTTCACAATCATTTCAAACTCCGAAACAAACTAAATGAAGTTCAAAGAATTGCAACCGTTGTTGCAAAGGAAGTATTGGTTTAAGGATATCTATGAAACGATTTGTTTGTTCGAAAATTTTTATAGATAACCCAAAGCCGCATATCAATATCAATATCTAGATAATTTTCGTAACAAAAAAATACGGAGAATAATCTATAATATCTAAAATATTTATTTTATTTTGTTTTAAAAAGTAATAAAATTGTCTAGCTTTTTCTTGAACATTGCAGAACTGCGTAAAGTCCTGCCTTGAATACAGATGTCAGATATAACATAAACTTACTGGTGGGACCTTTGATGATTCTGGTCCCATCATAAACAAAATTTTAAGTGTATAAGGATTTAATAATAAGAAATATTGAAGTAATATGAATATGTATGACAAAGTAACATAATAATAAAAATAACAAAATGAATGTATATCCTAGAACAATTATATTATGCATTATTTCTACACGAACATTTACATTTTTGGCCCCATCTTACGTCTGTTAATTATCATAACCTCTACAAATTTTTTTGTATCATGTGTGGTACCGGTATTCATTGTCAGAAGGCCCCTGGAAAGCAGCGAAATAGTACTATATTCTCGGGGTGAACTACTCCCGAAATACTAGTACGTTTTTATTCAAGATCACTCGAAATTTCCGAAATCGCCATCGAAAATCGTATAAAATTAAGGAGGAATTTCAGCGAAATTACCGAAATCATATAAAATCGATTTTAGATGATTTCCGAAATACGAGTGTTTTGACCTTAGTGGTTTACCATTTGACTAAATCTAACCACACCTTTTTATAACCGGCAAAGGTAAATATTGAATGTGATTACAGTTTTCTTAAAAAAATAACGCGACATGACAAATTATGTAATTCTTACCATTAAACATGTTATCTATATACTATACAAAAGTAATTTTTGTATCAAACATATTACGGCATTTACTCTATTTTTTTAGTTGAAAAAACATTTCACACGCACAAATTACATTTGGTTGCGTGTCTTAAAAATTTGTATACAGTAACGCCGATAAAGGAGGGTAATATTTTTTTAGACAGGCATTTATAGGATGCAACAAGATGTGCCGTTATAAAAGCTGATAGGTCCTAGGATAACATTTCTAAATTTATCAAAGTATAGAAACCATAAAACATTTTTTTAAGTTAATGATAGAACTTTTGAATCTGCGGGATAGCTTTAGGGATGCTATAAATCTGCTTTTAGAATAACAAGATTCTGAGGAGTGTTTTTAAAACAGTTTCAAATGTTAATGGATAGGTATATATGATGACCAAATTGCACGGAAAATTAGATAAAAGAGACCAAAGATATAACATACACCGGTGTTTAACCTGCGCAAATGTTGCCAATTTCTAAAGAAAGGTTAACGGAGTGGGGAAACTGGGCAGAGACCCGAACTCTGTGACAGGAACCGGACTTTGTTTATTAGCATCATAATGAACTATTAGATTTATTTAAAATATATGTTTAATGGAATTTTGTATTATGAAATAAAATTAACGTGATTTTTTAATATCAAACAGATACACGACATTTTATGTAAAGAGAAGACCTTTTATAGAATATTTCGTTAGCGTTTATTTACTACGGACTTTTCAGCAAGAGACTACAGTAAAATGTTGAAATAGAATATTGTTAATAGAGCAAGAAATGGTACTCATTGTCTACGAGTATTATAAAAAAGCATGTGCGCAGGCGAATGCTGCAAATCAAACCTTTTGAGTTGAACATTATATTTTTTCTATGGCTATTACATAATATTAAAAATTAGTCAAAATGAGAAAATGCTGTTTTGTATTGTAACCTCAGCTTCTTTCTTTAGGAATATTAATTAATATAGAGGGGATGAGTCACATAAAACTCTAGAAATGCATATGTCTGAAACCAGATATCATTTTAAAATTTAAACCTATTAAAAGTCATTTGGTCGCTAGGGGTGGGTGATTATCGAAATAAATGATCGATCATTGAAAATAATCGATTATTTTCGATCAATCCATTGTTTTCAATCTATTTGTTTTTCGTATTTCCTTTAAAATAGACTACTTGATTATCTTTGAAAAATCAAAACTAATCGATTAATTAAAAAGCCAATTAACCGATAAATCAGTGTTTACAAAAAATAATAAAAAAATTATCGTTTATTTTAAATAATCGATTGTTTTTAAATAATCTATTTTTTTTTTTTGTATTTCCATTGAAACAGATTATTCGATAATCTTTGAAAAATCTAAAATAATCGATTAATTAAAAAGTCGAATAATCGATAAATCGATTTAAAAAAAAATTATTTCCTTTAAAATCAATTATTCGATAATTTTTTTAAACATCGAAAATAATCGCTTAATCAAAAATAATCGATTAAGGGAAAATAACCAATTAATTAAGAAGCCGATTCTACGATAAATCGATTTTCCAAAAAAATAACTGACATCGATTATTTTCAAATAATCCTTTTGTTTGCATATTTCATTTAAAATTGATTATTTGATTATCTTTGAAAAATCGAAAATAATCGATTAATAAAAAGCTGATTGACCGATAAATCTATAATTGTAAAAAATAACCGAAATATCTATTATATAAAATAACCGATTATATTCGATCAATCGATTATTTTCATATAATCTATTTTTTCGCATTTCTTTTAAAACAAATTATTCGAATACCCTTGAAAAATCGAAAATAATTGATTAATCGAAAATAATCGATTAATCGAAAATAATCGATTAATCGAAAATATTCGGTAAATCGAAAATAATCGATTAATTTAAAAAGTCGATTAAACAATAAATCGATTTTTCTAAAAAAATCGATTATAATAAATCGAATATTTTGAATAAATCTACTCTCTTTTTGTAATTCCTTTATAATTGATTATTCCATTACCTAAAAAAACGAAAACAATTTATTGAAAATGTTCGATTAATCAAAAATAAATCGATTTTCATGAAAACGATAAATCGATTATTTTTGTAACCCCTATCGGTCGCATGCTTTTATCCGAGCATTTAGCTCCAAAATTTAGAGATTCGAATTTATTGATCCTGTTATCTTTGAAACCGCATTCGATTGTATAATAAATATTGCTAGAATTTAGATTTTTTTAGTAAACGAAGATTTTTTTCGAGTTGACTAATTTCCGTAACTTTAGTATTTTTTTGCTTATACTAGATCATATTGCGCGTTTTACTTTGTTTTAATACTTAAGATTCAAATGTCACTTCCGATTTAACCGCAAATAAAATTAACCTTGAAATTTTAAGTAGGTGAACCTGTATTTCATCTAATATTCTTGTAAAAATACCTAATAAGGGCTAAAAACCACCTTTAGTAAATATTCTTATAAAACTACTTTTTAGAAACAAAATTTTGTTAGTAACAATGCCTATTTAATTCTTATTTAGATTAAATGTTTAAAATTTTACTTTTTTTAAATTAATGCATTATGAAATCTATTTTCTGAAATATTGTATTTGATGCTTAATATTTATTGAAACCCCTTAATGCGGATCTGAAGTATTCAGCTCAAAGAATCATGGCGACTTTATGTCAAAACGTCAACAAATATTTACCGCTGAAAACGAATATATTTCTTATTTTTCATAACATTGACACTTATATTATTTGTATATACAATTTTCAACTTGAAATTGAATAACTAAAACACTTTAAATTGCTAATAACACCAACAAATAATTCAAAAAACGGCGGTCCATAAATGATTTACTCACGCGGAGACAAGCATAGAATAGACATTTCGGAGCAATTCGGGTGGCGTCGTGAACACAATGATTTTTAATTGGTGGGTTACTTAGGGTTGGAATAGACAACGTGCGCGATGTGCAATGTTACATCTCCGGTCTCTTTTATCTAAGGTTTAATCTCAACAACTAAAAAATATACTGACAATTAATTTGACAGAATTGTTACTTATTTAAAATTTTAAAAGTAATAGCAGTCGGTTGATCAAAATATGAACGGTGATTGGTGGATTTAATTTTTCTGCAGTGTTCTCACTACCTAGAATGAATATGAAATATATTCGTTCAGTTTTTTGTTTTGTAATCTGTGCGTAGATAAGGTAATATCCATGTGGGTGTAGAAAAAAATTAAATCCACCAATCACAGTTCATATTTTGATCAGCCGGCTACTATTTTTTAAATTTTATATAAGTGACAATTCTGTCAAACCAATTATCAGTTTATTTTTTAATTATTGAGATTAAAAAATGATCGTAAATTTGTCGGAACTATCTAAAACCATTTTTTTTTTTAATTTTAAATCGCATCAACCCTGAGGGTTATTAGCGAACTATAATTTTACAAATGAGATAAATTTATTTATGTATCTTTGTGGAATTTTGGAAATTGATGGAGTTCAAGAAAGTTTTTATATTGTGTAGATTGCATTTAGGTCCGAGAATATCCATTATTGTGTCGGCCGGTAGATTTGCTGCATATCGATGTGGTGCAAGATGAGGACAATCGACAAGTATATGACTCACATTTAATTTTGTGTCACACCATTGTCACACTGGTTAAATTTTGGCTCTATTTTGGGATTACAGCATAAATATGAATGAGTGAGCTTCGTGTGACCTAAACGTAACCTAATTATTAGTATTAAAAGAAAATTAGCTGCCTCCATAGGGTAGATATGTAGAGTATTGATTTGTTGTTGCGAGGTTCAAATTTTAAATGAAGCTTTTGATATTTTAGGTATATTAAAAAAACTTAAATCCCTTTAAATACAAATTCAGTACCTAATTAATAATAATTATAATTTTTCTCGAGCAGTTTTTAACAAAATTAAACAAAATGACGTCGCAGTTTCGTAAAATAAAATTATTTCTAAAAATAAATCGATTCAAATTAATTTGGTTTTGCATTTTTGCATAAATTTTATTTTAGAGGTTTTATGATTTTTATTAGTTTTTTTTTGGAACACCCAGTATGTCTACTATCGTATAAAATGGTTATAGGT